ATAGGCCTGGAGAGAAGCCTGAAGAGAGAAGAAGGATCTGATCCATAGCCTCTGTGGCAGCTGTTGATCAGCACTTGCCTCTCTCTTTTGCTCCAGGGCCCGGCCCAGCAGCCCGCACCTCCATTTCTCTCCAGGTCTCCACTGGGGGCTGCTGATCAGCCCCACTTTTCTGATCAGGCCCCATTGATAGGCCCAGAGATGCTGACTGGCATAGAAACCGACCAATCAGAACCAAATCTGGGTGAAGTGTGAGGAGTCAATGGCTACCTAGGAGGCGGAGCTTTAGATGCTGACTGGCATAGAAACTGACCAATTAGAATGAAATCGGCTGGCAGAGGAGGGCAGTTTGGCTGCCTAGGAGGCGGAGCTTTCAACACTGACTGGCATAGAAACCAACCAATCAGAACCAAATTGGCTGGCAGAGGAGGGCGGTTGGGGGTGAGATCAGGCCTGCAGGGGAGGGCAGTTGGGGGCGAGATCAGGCTGGCAGGAGAGGGCAGTTGGGGGCAACCAGGCCTGCAGGGGAGGGCAGTTGGGGGAGAGATCAGGCCGGCAGGGGAGGGCTGTTGGGGGCAAGATCAGGCCGGAGGGGAGGGCCGTTGCGGGCAATCAGGCAGGCAGGCAGAGGCAGTTAGGGGTGATCAGGCAGGCAGGCAGGTGAGCGGTTAGGAGCCAGCGGTCCCAGATTGAGAGAGAGATGTCTGACTGCCGGTTTAGGTCCGATTCCACAGGGATCGGTCCTATACCGGTGCTGGGGTCCAACCCCAACGGGTCCAGGGATCCCCAAAGGTGTGGACGGAGTCGGTGAAGAAGGAATGACATGGAGACAGGGTTCAGTTCATCAGCATAGTGAGGTTCTCCCTCCAGGATCTCCAGCCAAGTTCTGTCCAAGATCTCCAGCCAAGTTCTGTGTACAGGTTCTCTTGCTAGGTTCTCCATCCAGCTTCTCCAGGTTCTCTACCCAGGTTCGGTCGCCAGGTTCTGTGTCTATGTTCTCCAGTGAAGTTCTG